TCTCTCTCTTACTGTTCAGTCCTTTCCCAAGAAGAGAACGAGCTGGGTCGTTTCCTGCGCTCCCAGGGCTCTCAGGATAAAACCAGAGCTGGAAAGATCATGCAAGCCACAGGAAAAGCTCTCTGCTTCTCATCACAGCAGAGGTAGGGGACACGGATCAATGTACAGTCTGCCACATCCTTAAAATAAATCACATGCTGCACTAGAAAATAGCTTCAAGTAAAGGTCAGCCAACTGTATCACCCCAAATCCACAAAAAGGATGGAGAGTCGTATCAGGAACGTTCATCAGGAGCAATAAAATAGCTGCCCTAACAGAGCAGATAACAGGGTTATTACACAGCATAGGTACTCTCACACTACTGAAAACAGGGATTTCATTTACGTGTCTGAATCTGTGTGTCAGTCTGACAGTAGTGGTGATAATTATTATTAATATGACTTAGTAAATTATATTGTTTAGATTTTGTAAGATGTGAACGTCATGTTGACGATTTTGGTTTTGCCAGTATTTCTATTTTTTCCCCCACTGCTCATCTTTTGATTCTTGAGTTCACCATTTGAGTTTCCAAGATCATTTAAAGCTTTACGTCCTGGAGCTGAGATACTTTTCAGTGCAGCTGAATAAATCAGCAGACTAATCTGCAGCGTAGACAACACATGACAAATTTTCCACATGATGATCCGAGCCACATGCAGCACCTTAATACGGAGTTTAATACGACACCCTGCAGATTGGCTCTGAGGAACCCGCTGTGCCGTTTGTACCAGGAGGTGGAAACGTTTCGTTATCGTGCCATCTCAGACACGTGGCTGACAGTGAATCGAATGGAGCAGTCAAGGACTGAGTACCGTGGAGCGCTGCTTTGGATGAAGGACGTATCTCAGGAGCTCGACCCAGATACACATAAACAGATGGAGAAATTCAGAAAGGTTTGTTTTGTTTTTTTCAGAGCACAGCAATGAAGAGATTAACAATTGTTTTCATAGCAGAAAGAAAAGCTTACATACTAGCACAAATAATGCCTGCATTCTCTTTAGTTTTGCCCATCTCAGGGCTCAGGCATACGTGATAGCTCAAAGTGACACTTCAGGGTTTAAGCTGCACCTCCTGTGACAATTCATAATGTCTATATAAACCAGTAAGTCACAACTGCATATAATCCAATTAATTGTTCTTTTGTTAATTTAATGGGTACTTCTCAGACTGCAGCCCCACTGTTGATGTGATGAAGTGTTGCTCCCGCCTAGAGCAACATAAAAACAGTAATATCAGAGCCCTGCCAACGCAGTCTGTGGGAAATTGGCAAAAATATTATGACTTCCACAAATTCAATTTCCTCCTTTGCCGCAGGGCCTGCAGCAATCATTAATTAATCTGTCAATTTTTTTGATTAAATGTTTAGTCTTAGAAAATAAATGTCAGAAACACTGGAAAACGTCCATCATCAGCTTACAGTGCTTCGTCTGGTTCATATTTATATTCTGTTTTAGTGGGACAACAGTTTAAAACCCTAAAACATGTAGTTATTTCAACATTGTCTACAAATGCCATTTTACTAATCAATTCAGCATTAACACAACAACGGACCAAAAAGCAAGAAAACATGTTATAAAACCTGACACCAGAGGGCAGAACATACCCATAGATGGTGGTCCCCCTGCAAGAACGCAGCACTTTTTACAGTTATGTGAACAAGAACTCGAGTGTTTGCATTTTCCCTGTGTGTCATATAATACTAGGTGGGGAGCATTTCACATATATTCTCTCTCAGGTTCAGGCTCAGGTGCGCACAACCAAAACGAGCTTTGACAAACTGAAGAATGACGTCTGCCAGAAAGTGGACCTGCTGGGAGCGAGCCGCTGCAACCTCCTCTCTCACGTCTTAACCACATATCAGGTACGCCTCACAAGTCCCAGCTGTCTGCGTACACTCCACCGAGCTTAAATATGGTGTTTTCAATGGCTCTGCCACATGTGGCTTAGTCAGCAGATCTAAACTATCACCCGCTGGGGTGAATTACTACTTTTACCTTGAGCAGCTGAGCGTGTAACTTGTTTCTTGTGTGTGTGTGTGTCTTAGACAACACTTTTGCACTTCTGGGAGAAAACATCCCACACCATGGCAGCCATCCATGAGAGCTTCAAGGGCTGTCAGCATTATGAGTTCTCTACAATTAAGGTCTGAGAGAGTCTC